TTTGCTTTCTTCTGGTCCACTCCACTGATTTGAGTCCCAGTTTCCTTTTCATTGCTATTGGTTTCCTGTGCATTTCCATTCATTTCAATTAGTTTCGCCTTCATATTTTTCTCTAATTTGTGGCTATAATCAACCAGTTCTATGAGGATCCTGATGACCAGTGTTTTAAACTGTGCGTCTGAGAGTTTTGCTATTTCTTCATCGCTTAGGTCTATGGGCTCTGGGATTTTGAGAACTTGCGACATTTTTGGTCTATTCTGGCCCTTTAAGTGTGAGAAGTGGTGCCTTGGACTCCCAGGTCGCTGGGTTGTGACACTGTATGTGGGGGCGTGGTCAGAGCGGGGAAATGGCGGCGCCCTCTACAGCCGCTTGCCAGGGGGACACCGGGCCTGGGGCCTGGTCCAACCACCCACTCCCTTGCCTGTCCGCTCGCACAGAAATAGGCGACCACAGTCAACACGCAGCACCGCTTCCCTGCTGTCTCCTCCGCAGTCGCTCACCTGGTGGCTTGCTCGGTCGCTCACTAGGTCCAACCCTGCCCTGGCTCACTAGGTCCAACCCTGCGTCTGGATTCGCGTGTCTGGATTCCGCGCCTGAGTCCCTCTGACCGAGTCCTCCTGTGCAACCCCTCACCAGCCGCTGGTTTCGCCCCTTACCGGTCAGGCTGAAGAATTTGTTGTTAACGGACTTCCAAAAAGTTCAATTTTCTGTGTTCTGGTTGCATTTTCTGTTGCTAATATTTAGTTGTCCCTAAACTTGGTTGTGTGAGAAGGCATGGCACATCCACCTATACCTCCATCTTGGCGGAAGTCTCTACCTCAGAATATTGACAAGCTTCATGAAAATGAGCTGAGTGTTGGATGTAGTTTTACAGAAGAAAGTGTCCTCCTATCTCTAAACAAGGTATATGTTGTGGAGAGTGGGGTGCCTCTATATAGAGATTATTAGTTATGATTACCATCAATTTTGAGATGAGAAATATGTTTTTTAATATTTGTTTATTTATCTTTAGATGGGAAGGAGAGAGGGAGAGAAACATGAATGTATGGTTGCCTCTAGTGCATCCCCTGCTGGGAACTGGCCTGCAGGGAACTGGCTTGCAACCCAGGCATGTGCCCTGACTGGGAATTGAACTGCTATCCTCTGGTTCACAGACCTGTGCTCAATCCACTGAGGTATACCAGCCAGGGCTTGAGATGAGAAATATTTTTCTCTGCAGGTAAAATCTACTTGAAAGGCCGCTGGTGAGAGGAGAGTATTGGAGTCTCTTCTCATTCTGCAAGTATTGACTAACTTTCACACCTTTTATAAATTCTGGGTGACATACAATTGAAAATTTTCAATCATTATGTTTGTAGCAGAAGACTACTCATTACAGACCAGGGTGTTTACCACTCATATTTAAAAGAATAGATCTCATTCCGTCCTCTTCCTGACATCCTTGAACTTCCCAGAGGATACTGGTTCTTTCTTTGAAAATATATTGCTTTTTTTCACACATTCAACAAATAATTTTCTACTGTTTGTGTGGTATATATTGCATACTTCCCTTTTATTATACCAATTATGTGTGCATTTCATGTCTTTACAATGATTTGTTGAGTTTGTGATTTACAGAATTTAGACAAAAATACCTTTTGACCATTATGAACTGAAAATGTCAAAAAAGTGATAGAACATAATGGAGAACTTTTACTGACTTTTGAGGAGAGTAAAATATAGAAAAGCAGAAATGATGGTGCAATAACCAATAGTTCTTCATATTTTCCCATTGTTATATCCTTCCAAATGCGCTCCAAAATAAGAAGACTGAACATTCAATGAACTGTGGCAATTAATATTCTTATTTCCATGTACATTTTATAGTTTTCTGATATTTACTTGCTCTTTGTCTATTGTTGTAGTTACTTCTTGTTGCATGTCAAATAATTTAGTGGCGAAAACATATAGTTTGTATCAGTGTTGGCATTTTGTGTCAGTTTAACAAATTGAACATGGAAATATTACCATTTGTGCCCCCCGTTGCTAGCAGAAGCAGTAAGTAGAGACAGGGATTGAATCTTTATAGGTGTTCAATCTATTCAGATGTTGGCAACCTGAGAAGATGGTGCATTATCACCTGACCATCTCATCTCAAGCTGTTCATTTCATAAGAAGAAAGAGTAGGTAGGGGGTTTGGCAAAACATTTGACTGGATAAGAGTTGGAGTACCGCCATGATTTTCCTAGTACATCTTTATCTGTTGATCAACAATTCTTTATCTGCATCACAGGAATATCCTCCCTGATGCACAATGGCTCTGATACCATCACCGTAGCTTGAAGACCCCCTTGGGCACAAAGACTGAATTGCTTGTGGACCTCCTAGAGTCACATGGTCATGCATTCCACTTCCTAAAAAAACCGTTTTCCACATGCATTAATCGCGTAAGCCTATTAACTGTGACGGAAGCTATCATCTTTATCTCTTGAGTTCTTCTAACAAAAATTACATTTTTAATTTTGATTTTTACCCTTCTTTCTTAAGTTATTTTCTACAGGATCTGAAATTTCTGGATTAGGAATCCCGAGACCTGGGCTCTGGTCCCCAGTTCTGGCACTAGTGTGACTATGAGCAATGCAGCTTACATTATTGACTCTCAGATTTTTCATTTGAATAATGGTCAGTTTGGACCAGGTCCTTCTTAGATTGAAGTGTTGATACGATTCTATTGGGTGCTTATTTCCCCCCAGACAAGCCTACACGTTTTTCATCACTTGATGGATGTCTCTGACCCTCTTTCAGTGCCCCAGTCTCTCACCCATGCATTTTTACCTCCCAGTCCTCTTCAGCATATGTGTGTCTCCCACCATGAAGATCACAGGTGGTTCCCTGTTCCCCCGTCCAGACTTACAAATTTCTGATGACCGCAGAACATGAGACTAAAGAAGTAGGCCTCTTACCACTGGGTTGTAGGCTGAGAAAGTGACAGTAAAGTGATTTGATTTAATTGAGTATGGAGAGACTCAGCTTGGTAGTGGTGAGGCAGAATTGGAGTTAGGTCATAGTGAGAACTTCTGGAAGTTTGGGAGCAGAGGGTATTTTAGGATGCATGAGAACATTCACTTGACATGCATGTTTTGGTGAAAAGATCCTTCAGTTTTCTGGAGCTGACTCTGCAAAAGGAGAAGGATGTTAGTAAACCTATTCTTCTGCATCCCGGCACCTTCTAAGGGAATAAAGCTTCAGGAGCTGTGTTCAAGGCTCACTCTCTACTTGGAATTGACTTTGGTGGGTATTTGGACACAGAGCAGTGGACTCATCTGCACCCCAACATCCATTCCCCTTCCATACATAAACATACTCCAAACTAAAAGGGCAGCAAACCTTCAGTACCTCCTTTAGGTGCATGTGATCAAGCTAAGGAGAAAGTTCTGTTTTGCTCCCTTATATTGTTATTTGACATTCTTTTGATTTCAAAATGGACTATGGCTTAAAAGTATAAGTGATCCTGAAGGCACAACATACATGCATGAAATAGATACCAATAAGCAGGGTAGTATCAAATATGAGAGCAGGTTACAGTAAAGGGAAGGATGTAATACCTGAATACCTTAAAAGAATGGAGGCACTGCTGAACTGGAAAAGGGAGTACGTGGGTGAGGCTGAGGCCCTGGTGAAGGAAAACTTAAGATTTAAATGCTTCCAAATGCTGGTCATAGGCACCTTAATATATGTGAATGCATAGAAGCTGTTCTGCGGATGTATTTAACATTCTTTGTGGTAATACAGGCATATGCTTTGGCAGAAAGTAGGGTAAATTCCCAATATTTATATATATCCTAGGCTTGGATAAAGCCTTTCAGAACCAAGTATAGTCTCCAGAGAGTTATTGAATAGTGTGGCCAGTAGAGTGCTCTATAAAATTTTGATAGCACTTCAAAAAATGATAACATTCAGTGGGTGAACATTAAGGATGTTATGGTAAGTGAAATAAACAAATCACAGAAAAACAAATACAGTATGATCTCAGTTATATGAGGTACCTAATGTAGTCAAATTTATGGAAACAAAGTAGGCTGGTGATTACCAGGGGCTGGGGGCTGGGTGAAGGATGTTGTTGTTTAATGGGTATAGAGTGTCAGAGCTGCAAGATGGAAATGTTCTGAAGATCTTTCCAAAACAGTATGAATATACTTCATACTACTGAAGTAGATTCTTAAAAAAAGGTTAATACAGGAAATATTACATTACATATTTTTTTCTATAATGAAACTAAATGGGAATATTTGGAAGAGAAATAAACCTAATCTGACTTGAAAAAGAATGAAATTCTATCTTTGATAAGGCCCATATACTCCCTCTTTTACTCCAGGTGCCTCGTTCTGATGTTAATATTGTGTAGTTTCATTGATCTCAAACTCAGTCTGCATCCTATCTTATTGTTTGTTTTTTTCTGAATTGAGTCCCGTCTCATGATTCAGAAGCTCTTATTCCTAAATAATGATCCATTGAAACACAACAGTTTTTCCCCAACCTTATGCTATAAAAGTAAATTTTATGGAAAGGAGAATATAAAAAATGGCTATGAAAGGAAGATGAAATTTTTTAATATGGGAAAGCAAGGTAAGATATAATATGTATAACTATCTAATTTCCCTTTGGAGGTAATGAAATAAATTTGCTTTTACTAACTGTCTGTCTGCCTTCGCAAGTAAGTATACTTTCTTGCTTGTGTATTCTGTTTTTGCTGCAGGTACTTGCCTAATTCTTCTATAATTTTAGTGTATATGAGATTATGCTGTAGTTATAATCATAATATGATGTCTTGACTTATGTTTCTATCACCACCACCACCATCATTATCTTACAAGTGTGAAGAATTGAATAACCAGATAGTTTTCATTTTTAGGGTGAATAGTGAAACGCAAATAATTAATACCACTATCATGCTGAATAATCAGTTCTTTCTTATTTTCTTAGTGCCCATAATTTCAGCCACAGCCCAGTTGGGTGGATAAATGGAAGGGGGAAATCACTCATTTGTGTCTGAGTTTGTGTTTCTGGGACTCACACATTCATGGGAGATCCAGCTTGTCCTTCTGGTGTTTTCCTCTGTGCTCTACGTGGCAAGCATGACTGCAAACATCCTCATTATATTTTCTGTGACCACTAATCCTCATTTACATACCCCCATGTACTTTCTACTGGCCAGTCTCTCCTTCATTGACTTGGGAGTCTGCTCCACTGGTGGCCCCAAGATGATTTATGACCTCTTCAGAGAGCGTAAAGTCATCTCTTTTGGAGGCTGCATTGCTCAGATCTTCTTCATCCACTTCCTTGGTGTTACAGAGATGGTGCTGCTCATGGCCATGGCCTTTGACAGATATGTGGCCATTTGCAAGCCACTCCACTACCTGACAATTATGAGCCCACGGATGTGTATTTTGTTTACAGTTGTTGCTTGTGCCCTTGGCATCACTCACTCACTGTTCCAACTAGCACTTATTATTAACTTGCCCTTCTGTGGTCCTAATATAATTGACAGCTTTTACTGTGACCTCCCTCGGCTCCTCAGACTGGCCTGTACAGACACCTACAACTTGCAGTTCATGGTCTTTGCCAATAATGGGGTAATTACTGCTGTCTCTTTCTTTGCACTCATCGTTGGCTACATTGTCATCCTGTTTACTGTTTGGAAACACTCCTCAGGTGGTTCACCAAAGGCCCTCTCCACTTTATCAGCTCACATCACTGTGGTGCTTTTGGCCTTTGTACCCTTCATATTTGTCTATACATGGCCACACCCCAATTCACAGATGGACAAGTTTCTTGCACTCTCTGATGCTGTGCTCACTCCTTTTTTAAATCCAGTCATCTACACATTTAGGAATAAGGAGATGAAGGCAGCAATAAAGAGATCTTTCAGACAATTAGTGATTTTTAGGAAGATTTCATAAATGGTGTTATAAGGTGGTATCATCATATAGTCCCTATCTAAATTTTAGAGTTGTTTTTGTAGTGTATCAGTAATTGATTTGCATCACTATACTGTTTAAGAATGCTCTTATTTTCTAAGAAAAATGAATCTTAGAGAAATAAAACTTTTATTCAAAGTTATATTGATTCATATGGGGTAGCACATATATGTACTAACTATAGTAACTTTCTCTTTGTTGGTTTCTCAGTTTTTAATTTTTCTGAAGAATTTTGAGTATTATTGTCTTACATTTTACCAATATAGTTTCTCATAATGTGTCTCTTGAGGCAACCAAGGTGCTAATTATTCACTTGCAACTGATAATCACCACTTTTGAACAATAATGCCTTTTCTTATTAGTTTTTTGGTGAGTTGGAAAACATTCATATCTCATTGGAGTTATTCAAGCCCATTATAAGTATCAACTTCGTCTTTATGGTTTAGGAAACATAGTTATTTTGTTCAGCCAAAAAGTTTTCTTTTCAGATCCTTTGAATCCTTCAAATCCCAAACTAATGACACCCACTGGTTTCCTCTACCTACATATGCATATTCAGGATCTAGTGCTTCATTCTTTCATTCATCTGTCCCCCAAATTATTATTTTTCTTTTGTATATATGTGGAATTGTGCTTCCTCTGTAACTGAAATTGTTTTGAGGATTACATGGAAGCATCCGAAATATGTGGCCAGAATAATTATAGATGGAGAAGGATATGAATGAAATATTTGCTCTATAAACTTACAGAAGCTTTTGTGGTGCTTTGTGAAAAATCAAGTGTGAGATTTCCAGTGCTGACCAAATGTCATAAGGCCAATATAGCCTCTTTTCTTCTTTAGTTACATCTAAACAGTCTTGAAAAATTATGTATTAGTAAAACTACCCAAGTCAAGAAAAATAAAGGTAACAAAAACACTGGAATATTGTAGAAGGGAATCAAAACTTGAAGAAACAATGCATAAGCAGGTAATGTTATTTTTCAGGAAAATCTTTTCCGTTTCTTTCTCTCTTGGCTGTTTCTGAGAACCCATTCAGATCTCAAATGCAAAGCTGTGGTTTTCATGATACACGCAGAAAAAAATTCTAAGAGACAATCAGTACTTCTGCCCAAAGAACTGGGAAAATTGGTTCCAGAAACTAGAGAGTGTGGAATGTACATATAATATAAATAATTTTTTCCTACTTCTTTTCTTCTCTCTCTGCCAAATCCCAGGGTAGCTATAGTGTCAGAGCTATGGCAGTGAAGTGGGTAGCTAAAACTCTTTTTAGGACACCATTATTTTTGGAGAAAGGACCTGAGAGAGGGCCCCTGTGGTCTGAAAAGTGTGAACAAAATTCCCATATATTTTTTATGCCTCTTTTTTCTTGCCACATTACTGCAGGTACAGAACCCTTTTATGGAGCTGTAACTCAGCATAATTCAGGCAGCTAAAACTCCAAGAGAATTCACATATTTCCAGGTGAATGGTGATGAAAAGGGCCTGCAAGATGCAAGATGAAGAGTGAGTGTAGATTCTTGGAGAGGAGAGACCTGGAGAAAAAGATCACCTAGTCTGGTGTATGCACCATCATCACATACCCAGGGCTGGTTCCTGGGCTGGTTCCTGAGCTGTGCATGCATGGGACAGACCCAGAACAACATAGCAACACCTTTGAAAACTTATCTACCAGTGAGTGTCACATGTGGGGCAGACTGAGAGCAATGGAGACACAATGCTGTAAAAACAGAACTGACATTGAACCTGCTACCTATAGAAGCTGCAACAGAACTTATATGAACCTAAGTTATTGCCTATGAAAAGAGAAAAACAATTTTCCTGAGAATTGTAACATTAGGTATTTTGCAAACCTAGAGTTTCACAAAATAATTTTCAAAATGTCCAAGATGAAATCTAAAATTAATAGACATAAAAAAATCAGGAAATGTGACAAATTTTCAAGGAAAAGATAATCAACATGTTCCAAGTGTATGATTGCCAAAATGCTAGAATTTGCAGAAAAATACTTCTATTTATTTATTTATTTACTTGTTTGTTTATTTAATTGTTGTTCAATTAATATTGTCCCCATTTACCCTCATTACTTTCCTCTGCCCTTTCCACCCTCCTCCCACATTCAATCCTCCCCTTCCCCTATTGCCATTGTCCATGAGTCCTTTATAAATATCCCTTTGTTCGAGGCTTCCCCTTCTTTCTCCTTATATCCTCCTCCCCTTACTCTTCTGGTCACTGTCAGTTTGTTCTTTACTTCCAAAGGTCTGGCTGTATTTTGCTCATTTGTTTGTTTTGTTGGTTAGGTTCCACTTGTGCATGTGATCCTATAGTATTTGTCTTTCACATCCTGGCTCATTTCACTTAGCATAATGCTGTCTACTTCCTTCCATGCTGTTGAGAAGAGTAGAACCTCTTTTCTTTCTGCTGCATAGTATTCCATTGTGTAAATGTAGCTTTTGATCCCCTTACTAATGGGCAGTTCAGCTATTATTTCTAGCACTTGGATAATGTAAATAATGGTGCTATGAACATTGAGCTGCATAGGTTCTTCCACTGACTCAATCCCCTCTGGATTTTGCAGCCAGAAATTATGGGGATTTATCTTTCCGAAATTAGTACCTTTGGCTGATGGGCCTGGTGTGGTGCTTAGGCTGCTTGCTCCCAAGCCATCCCTCCTGAATTTTTATGCACCACACATGCATGTGGGACCAGCCTGTGCCACATCTGTAGCCCTCCTACCAGTCTGGATGAATGTGGTTTCTCTAATTCCATAGTTGTCAGACTTCCATTTAAATAGATTTCTGCCAGTTCTGAGTGATCTTTGCTCTACAATTAAGTTGTAATTTTTTCATGGTGGTGCGACGAGGCAAGCCATGTTAACCTATGACACCATCATGAACAGGTGTAGTTCTTTTCAGTTCTGTGCTCTTTTTCTTTCTTACATGAGTTTCAGGTGCACTATAAAATGAAATCTTGCAATTTGTGATGATAATAGGGATAAATCTTAAGAGTCCAGTGCTAAGTGAAATAAGTCAAAAGGAGAACAACAAATACCATGTAGTTTTATTTTCATGTGGAACAAAAAACCTGAAGTAACAAAATTAAACAAATTCTTTGATTTTCTATTTTGTTTTGCTCAGGATATTTAAGTCCCCACATTCTCTACTTTTAGGTAATCTTCATTTCTATCATACTTAAATTTTTCTATTTACTTTTTGAAATTTTCAAGTTTATTTTAATCACTTTATATTTTCTATGACATGTATGTTTTTAGAGTTTTTTGCAAACTTTTATTTTTTATTTGTTGTTTATTTATTGTTGTTAAACTATAATTGTGTCAATTTGTCATACCACCATGGCCCCCGAACCCCACCCATCCCCGACTCCCACCCTTGAACCTAACCTCTTTTGGCTTTGTCCATGTGCCCCTCATATAGTTTTCTTGATGTGCTTTCCCCTAATTTGCTCCATTATCCCTCCCCCATCTCCCCTGTGGTTACTGTCAGTTTGTTCTTTATTTCAACATTGTGGTTATATTTTGCTTGATTGTTTTTTTTTATTAGGATCCACTTATTAGTGTGATCATATGATATTTGTCTTTCACCAGGTAGCAGATATAACTTAGCATAATGGTCTCCAGTTTCATCCATGCTGAGGTGATGGGTTATTTCTTCTTTTTAACACTTACAAAACAATGTAAATTTTATTTTTATTTTGTTATGTGTGCTTGCTTACTCTTTTCTTTTTTCCTGTTTATGTTTTTCAGTTGTGACAATTATTTCCCCCTTTGCCCCTCTCTGCCCAGCCTGCCCTCTATTTCCATAGTCAATCCTGACCCCATTGTTCATGTCCATGGGTTCCTTGACTAATCCCTCACTTTACTTCAAGCAGTTCCCCCTCCCCTCACCCCTTATTACCAGTTCCAGTCCATTTTGTGAATCTATGCCTGTGGTTCTATTTTTGCACTAGTATACTTTTGTTTATTAGAGTCCTCTTATAAGTGAGATCATACTTTATTTGCCTTTCACCAACTGGCTTATGTTACTCACCATGATAGTCTCCAGGTCCATCCATGCAGTTGAATAGGTAGGAATTCTTTCTTTCTTTCTTCTGTGTAATATTTCATTGTGTAAATGTATTATAGTTTTTAAATCCACTCATCACTGATTTTTAAAAATTTTACTTTCAACTACAGTTTGCAATCAATATTATTTTGTATTAGTTTAAGGGTACAGCACAGTGATCAGACATACTTTACAAAGTGTTCCTCTGATATTTCTAGTGCCCAACTGGCACCATATATAGTTACTGAAAAATTATTGACTATATTTCTTATGCTATACTTTACATTCCTATGACTATTTTGTAACTACCTGTTGGGGGGGGGGCTCTTCCCACCAAGCTCCCCTGTCTGCCATGGATGAGAGTAAGTCTACAAAGACATGATGTGTTTCAGGAGGAAAGGTGGCCAATATCTCAAAGGAGAAGGTCCTTCACCCTGTTCCTCAATGGGCTTTTATTGGGTTTAATTTGCCTAGGAACACAGGGCATATAGCTCATCAGTCATTGTCAGGCAGTAATGATCATACGATAGGTAACATTCAAAAAAGTGTAAGTGCTTATTCTGAGTCAGGGTCAGATGGCCAAAGGGTCATAAAACTTTGGGGAGCAAACTCACTTTATGCTTAAACCCTTTTCATTTAAATTGATGGTGTTCTTAAGAAAGCAGGTTTCACAGGACTTTATGCCTTCCTAGGCCTGAATGTCCTGGAAACTCACCCTTTTTAGCACAGGACTGAACCTGCTTGTGGCATTGTTTCAGGCTTAAGTTAGGTGGGTGATGTGGGCAGTCAAGAAATTAGGAGACTTTTATAGACAGAATGAGGACTCAGGCTGTGTCAAAGCCAAGGGGGGAGGGTCCATCACACTCTTTTTCTATAGTCCCCCAAGTCTTTCCTGATGACCCCACTGTAACCATGTCTGTCTT